ACTTCCTGAGGAAATGAATTGTTAAGAGGATTAGATGATGCCACAGCCTCACATGAACCTCTGTTGTTTAAAAAAGGGTTAAATGTATTCTAATTCCCAATTTCTATCTCTGTGGATTTATGATGTTAGGTTTCAGCAATACTGCTAATAGGTCATGCAGAGAAGATGCTGAGCCACCAGCTTTCTTTTAGTAGTGTTGGATAGTTAAGGAGTTGGTATCTCAATTGGTATAGTAACTCCATTGATCATATATAAAGAGCGAGTACGGCAAACTGGGCAGTAGGTGGAGCAAGTGTGTGTTTAAATGTACAGTGTCAGACTGCACTATACTTTATAAAAGAGAAAAGGTTGCATTCACCTGATCAAGCATATTATAAGGGTGCTACGGGAATAATAAATACAACTTAAAGAAATACTCCAAACACCATAACCATACCTCCCAATGTTTTAAACAGATAACAAGGAACACTTTCATTTTAGGGGTTCTGAGAAATTTTAGGTAAGAACAATATACCTTATTTACACATGCAGTTCAAAAGACACAATATTGTCCGTATTCTTGTTGTGGGACTTTGTTATACACTCCGACACACCCGCTGTATGGAGCATATTCGAGTGCCCTGTGCTGATGCCAAAAGATGGGATGTAACATCACTCCATCCCAGGCATCAATAATACATGGTGCGAGGGAACTGTGCAGGCAATGACTGCCAGTGTGTGCTTCTGTGTGTGTGTGTGTGTGTGTGTGTGTGTGTGTGTTTGTCTGACTGTGTGTCTGTCAGTGAGTGTGTGCATCAATGTCTATGCTGACATTGTGAATCTATGTAGCAATCTGTGAATGCATTTGTCTAACATTGTGTGTCTGTATGTGAGTGTGATAATGTGTATGTGCCTGACATTGTGGACATTATGTATGTGTGTCCGGCAGTGTGTATCTATTTGTATTCTGGAACAGTGTATGTGTATGACAGTATTTGTGTTTGTTGCAAGGTGCTTGTATCTAGGTGAGTGGTCTTACCGTTTTTAAAAGGTCCAATGACCCCTTAAGCTTTGTATGAGAATTGAGAATGTGTATGTATGTGTGTGACAGAATGTGTACATATCTATAGAAACATACACTGACATTCAAAAGTTTGGTGTCACTCAAAAAAATCTTATTTTCCATGAAAACATACATAAAATGAGTTTGAATAGAGTTGAGAAAAAAATGGGTTATTCAGTATTGTTGGTTCTGGGAGTGTGAGATGAGGCCTGAAGACCAGAGATCAGAGATGGAACATTAAGGAAGTGTAAAGGAAAGAGAGGGGGGGTTAGAGTAAACATGTTTACCAACCACATTCTATTACCTAAAATATTAATAACTGTGTACATGAAATATTGGTTGAATACATTAAAGGGAGACTATAGTCACCAGAACAACTACAGCTTATTGAATTTGTTCTGGTGAGTAGAATCATTACTGTCAGGCTTTTTGCTGTAAACACTGTCTTTTCAGAGAAAATGCAGTGTTTACATTACAGCCTAGTGATAACTTCACTGTCCACTCCTCAGATGGCTGTTAGAGACATAGACATATAATACGTAGACGCCGCACTAACCTCTGGTGGTCGAGAAATGCGGGCGCCATTTTGGGCCGATCGTACTTCCATAGACATATGGTCCTGTAGTATTTTGCTGTAAATGCAGAATGTTAATGATTTAACTTTTTTCAAGTTAAATACAATACTTTATTATCAAATATTTATTTTACAATAAGCAAATATTTTCAGTTGTTAAATGCTGAGAATGCTGATGTGAATGTGGTAATTCAATATTTTCTCTTTATTTTCAAACTTCTTATATTAAAATAAACCACTTGCTTTTATTTGCGTGTTTACAATTACTTTTTGACAACAGATTTGTGGCAAACGGGATATCAAGTGGAGGAAATATTTCTAATCCAAGTGCTATGAGAATATTTCTTGTATCTTCATACTAAGGCAGATTTTAAATACTGTTTATTTTATAAAACAGGGCTAAAAGAGTTGCAGCCATTGGACTATCATTCCCATCATACAGCAACCAACCACACAGCTAGAGATGATGGGAAATCTAGTCTGACAAGGCTAGAAGAGATATAGTTTGCCCTATTCAGTTAAAAAACAGTACGTGATGTTCTTAATGTAAGCCTTTGGATTCTCGAGGAGAGCACACCTTCTAATACCCTGGTGGTCCTGAAAGGGTTATATACAGTAGACAAGACTGCATACTGCCTAAATGAATCCTGGCATACAAGGCTGTATATACTGTGACTGGCACTATTCGAAACACAGTCTAAAGCACCCACTTTTGAGAAAAATTAATTGCATAAACATCTTTGCACATCGCTGTTCCATATTTTAAAACATGGGAATAAAATTAGGATTTACACTTGACAAACTGTAACACAAAAACAGAGACACTGAACCTCAATGCATGTGTTCTCCTAACAAACCAATCGCCCGGAAGGCTGCCTGCAGCTTTCCACAAACCAATACTTTTTTTCGTCTTTTTTCGTTTTTTTCTTGAGAAAACCAAGTATGGCCTATCTCCTGTGAAGAGGTCGGTTTGCGAATACAGTCTGTAGGCACTTCACACTGCACGAAAGGCAGTGGGTTATACATTGTAAGGCAATGTGAAGTATTAAAGCTTGGAAAACGTCCCCAACTGTTCTCTTTACATTTTCATTAGAATCTCAGCTACATTTATCCTCTAAGCACGTCAATAGAAAGTACTCGGGTATGGCACGCCACACTGCACACTGTTGGTAAGGTCATGTACAGCACTGGTGATTAATAAGTAAAACCTTGGACTACTGTTACTTACACAGCTCCTTCCTTGTGTCCTGTATTCTAGCGGGTGACTAGTCCAAGATGGCGGCCCCGCGGCTCATTAGCACCAATAGGAAGTAGTGGTCGATGCGGCGTCTAGGTATTATATGTCTATGGTTAGAGATCCTTCCTGGGTCGTGGCTGCCTAAAATGCATCCAAACATTCTGTGTCTCCTCTCTCTGCATGCCAACACTGAACTTTACTCATAGATATTCATTGATTCAATTCATCTCTAGGAGGAGATGCTGATTGGCCAGGGCTGTGTTTGAATCATGCTGTCTCTGCCCCTGATCTGCCTCCTTGTCAATCTTAGCCAATCATATGGAGAAGCATTGTGATTGGCTCAGGCTACCAGTTCTGATGATGTCAGCAGACTGTTTGTTTTTCTGAGTCTAACAGCATGCAGAGCTACAGCTTCTGGCTTGACTACAGTAAGATTTTTACTATATTTATGGAGGCATGAGGGGCCCAGGGGGGCTAAATTGTGGTTTTAAGACCATAGGGTCTCCACACAAAAATCATTGAGAACTCACTTCTGCAAGAAAGCATATCACTTAAACTGTTAGCAGGTTTTTATTCCCCACCCCCCATGACTCCTTTCCTGCAACTGTTAAAAATTACTTACTAAGCCCTTAGTAACAATCTACTTCGTACCCCTCTGTGTCACTATACACCACTCCCTCTAGAATGTGTTCCTGATCCTATAGTGATCTTTTAAATTACAAGAAAAAAGAAAAAAATATGTACTTAATGCACAGAAAATTACAGTGGCAAACTACAGGTATAAATTGTAACAATGCTATAGTAACATATGTTAAAATGGTAACAATGTAACAATAAACACGGTGGAGTATCTTCCAAGATTCAGTCAGTACCCGGGGGTTGCAGAAAGTTGCTGGGAAATGTATTAACCTATATCAACCTTCCATTTATATATCACAAATGCCAGATTTAATTGCTGTGAAATTTTGCAGCCATTACTCTATCCTAATTCTCCTTGATCTTTCTGCTGTCTTTGACACTGTTGATCATTCTCCGTAATTTTGGTCTACGGGATACTGCTCTCTCCTGGGGCTCCTCCTACCTCTCCCAGCGCTCTTTCAGGGTTTCTTTCTCTGACTCTGCTTCTTGCCCCCAACCACTCTCTGTCGGTGCCCCTCAAGGTTCTGTCCTTCGTCCCCTACAGTTCTCGATCTATACGGCCTCCCTTGGTAAACTCATCAGCTCCTTTGGCTTCCATTATCATATCTATGCAGATGACACACAAATCTACCTGTCCTCTCCTGATCTCTCTCCGCCCATCTTGACTCATGTCTCTGACTGCCTCTCTGCGATTTCCAACTGGATGGCTGCTCACTTCCTTAAACTCAACCTGTCCAAAACAGAACTTCTGGTCTTTCCTCCCTCAAGCGTTAACACGCCCGTATCTGTCTCCCTCCAAGTCAATGGCGCAACCATCACCTCTACCTCGCAGGCTCGCTGCCTGGGTGTTCTTTTTGACTCCAACCTTTCCTTCACCCCTCATGTCCAATCCATCACCAAATCCTGTTGCTTCCATCTCAAAAACATAGCGCGCATCCGCCCCTATTTAACGCCAGATGCAGCTAAGGTGCTGGTCCATGCTGTTGTTCTCTCTCACCTTTACTTCTGCAATCCCCTTCTCAGTGGTCTTACATGTTCCCAGATTGCACCGCTGCAATCTATAATGAATGCAGTGGCGAGACTCATTTTCCTGTCCACGTGCACCTCCCACGCCTCCCCTCTCTGTCAGTCCCTGCATTAGCTTCCAGTTAGATATAGGGCTCAATTTAAAATTCTGGTGCTTGCTTACAAGTCCCTACATAATGCTGCTCCAACCTACCTATCCTCGCTAATACACAAATATGTCCCGTCGAGGCCCCTACGCTCTCCCAAAGACTTACGTATATCCTCTCTCTGTACTCCCACCTCTAACGCTCACCTCCAAGATTTCTCCAGAGCTGCACCTCCTCTGTGGAACTCCCTTCCCTTCTCCGTTAGACTTTCACCCAGTCTCCACACAAAAATCATTGAAAACTCACTTCTGCAAGAAAGCATTTCACTTAAACTGTTAGCAGGTTTTTATCCCCCACCCCCATGACTCCTTTCCTGCAACTGTTAAAAATTACTTACTAAGCCCTCAGTGAATACTTTTCTAACAACCTACTTCGTACCCCTCTGTGTCACTATACCCCACTCCCTCTAGAATGTAAGCTCATGGAGCAGGGCCCTCCACCTCTCTGTTCCTGTACGTCCAGTTGTCTTGTTACAATTACATGTCTGTTTGTCCACCCATTGTACAGCGCTACGGAATCTGATGGCGCTATATAAATAATAAAATAATAATAATAATAATATAGCCTCTACTCTACACAAACTTTGGGGGAAGTTAAATATAAGTATTAACTTCCATTCTTAGCATTTATTGTGTATTACGTGCATATAGAATGGTTGTCACACATTTTGGATATTTCACTTTGAATTCCTAACAATTTACACTTTAGTGGGTTGGGACTTTACAAGTTAACCTCTGACAAAGGTCTTATGGCAAGACTGAAACGTTGTTCACTTCTTCCTTGACCCAATTCAAAGTGATCAGAAGTGTTCATAAGAAGCCATTGTGTTCCCAGACTATATTGAATTGCTGTACTCTGTTTGGAGATTTTGCCATCTCTTGTTTGAGTGTGCCTACTTTGGGCTTTTTGTAGTTTCTTCCTATTATGTTGTCCCATTATAAATAGTCACACTATATTAGAATTCAGATAAAGGCACACACACAAAATATGTATTCCTGTATTTTTTGTTTTAGTGTGTACAATGTTCCTTTATCTGTATTTTGTATATATTTTGGTCTTTATGGCAGCTCCACTACTTAGAAATGCATTCCCCCCCGCCCCCCTTTTTTTTTTACAACATTAGGATTGCATGACTATTTAACTGGGATCTATTGGATGCCACTCCCCACTACATCAGGAGCTCTCTGTTTGAGCTAAGCTCCGTGGTGCAGAGCTTAGCTGATTGGCTGAGAGTGACCAGCTCTTTTTCGTTTAATATGGGGATCGTATAGGCTCTCTGTAATGACACAAATGAGCAAACACTTGTGAGGCCTGGGGTCCATTCTTACTGCTCTCTAGTGCCCTATAAAAACATAAAACGTAACAATATAAGTATATAAAGTTGCATTCTTCATAATGGAACAAATGTATCGGCCTCTTTAGATTGTTCTGAAGATGAATCAAGAGAAGTTGGAAAGCTTCTTGGACTGATTCTGTGAGGTATATGGTGCCCTCTGAAGTAAATTGCAGTTTTGCCAGGCAGAGTAGCAAAAAGTGAATTTGAAGTTTAACCCCTTAAGGACACATGACACGTGTGACATGTCATGATTCCCTTTTATTGCAGAAGTTTGGTCCTTAAGGGGTGTATGGGACACTATAGTCACCAAAACAACTTAAGCTTAATGAAGCAGTTTTTGTGTATAGATCATGCCCCTACAGTCTCACTGCTCAATTCTCTGACATTTAGGAGTTAAAACACTTTGTTTATGAACCCTAGTCACACCTCCCTGTATGTGATTTGCACAGCCTTCCTAAACACTTCCTGTAAAACGTCATCTAATGTTTATCCTTCATTTATTGCAAGTTCTGTTTAATTTAGATGTTCTTATCCCCTGCTATGTTAATAGCTTGCTAGACCCTGCAAGAGCCTCTTGTATGTGATTAAAGTTCAATTTACAGAGTAAGAGATAAAATTGTTTAAGGTAAATTACATCTGATTGAAAGTGAAACAAATTTTTTCCATGCAGGTTTTGTCAATCAGAGCCAGGGGAGGTGTGACAAGGGCTGCATAAAGAGAGACAAAGTGATTTAACTCCTAAATGGCAATGAATTTAGCAGTAAAACCTGAGAGGCATGATTTATACACTAAAACTGCTGCATTAAGCTAAAGTTGTTTAGGTGACTATAGTGTCCCTTTAAAAAGTAATGTGCAGTAGACATGTGCAATTTGGTTCAGTCCGAATTGAAATTCGGATGAATTTTGGAAGTGCTGAATTGCCGAAGTAGGGTTAGAGTTACTGAAGTAGGGTTAGAGTTGGGTTAGGAGTAGTGTTAACCCTACCCTAACCCTACTCCTAACCTTAACCCTACCCTAACCCTACTCCTAACCCAACCATACCCTAAAGCTACTCTTTACCTCACCCTAAACCAAACCCTACCCCTAACCCTACTCCTAACCCTACCCTAACCCTACTCCTAACCTTAACCCTACCCTAACTCTACTCCTAACCCAACCCTACCCTAAAGATACTCTTTACCTCACCCTAAACCAAACCCTACCCCTAACCCTACTCCTAACCCTACCCTAACCCTAACCCTACTCCTAACCCAACCCTAACCCTACTCCTAGTCTTGCCTAGCCCTACTCCTAACCCAACCCTAACCCTAACCCAACCCTAATCCTAACCCTACTCCTACATCCCTAATGTGCAAGGGAGACTAGGCCTTGTGTTTTTTGGACTGTGCAGAAGTAATTCTGAAAGATAAAGATGGTGAATCAAGAGGAGAAGGATGATGGCTACTTGTGTTATGGTCACAGACTCCTGGATATATACAGGAGTAGGGTTGTCGGATACCAATATTTTTGTATCAGACTCTGGAGGCAAAGGTACAGATGGTGAGGAAGATTTTTGGTGGGTTAGTAAGTTTTGGGGTCTGTATACTGAATGTTCTGTTTTGGTGGTCAAAGAGCACAAGGTGACAATAAATAATGAAATAATTGTAAAATAGGAAAAGGAAAAACAAACTAAAATTATGTAAATAAATGGGATAGGAGATGGAGAATAGGAGAAAAAGGGAACGGCAGGGTTAAATAATCATAAAGAATCCAAGCACAGCACTCAGGTTTACCTCATGCCATCACAGTGAACTACCCTGTAAGGAGAGAGATCTAGAGAGCTTGCACTCAATTTGCAGATACGTAGGTGGTTTCTGGTTGAGCTTTACTGCTGTTAGCTGAATAGAGGCGGGGAAATTGGCCTGTGGTCTATTAAAGAAGATGGCGGCTGTGACTCTGATCTGGACTAACAGGAGTAAAAACGGTGCTGCAGGGAAACAGTGCTGTTTGTAAACGGTGAATAAGAGGGCAGAAATTTAGGCATGGATGTATATGTCATTGGTGGAAATACAAAGTGGCCTAATGGTAATCTACAAATTTATTTGAAATCATATTGGTATTTTTTTATTTTAAATTTTTATGCGACAGTTGAAATTTCTATAATAATTACTGTGTACTCTGGGCTCTACACAGTCTGTGCACAAATCATGAAACTGAATCAGCTGATATTTATTTATTTATCAGAATAATAAGCACATTTGTTTCAATGCAAGCCCAGGGCATTCTGAGAACAGGACCCTTTGTAAATGTCTTCTTCCTTATTGTCAAATTTTATGGGTCTTTCCGGTCTTTTGAGTTTCTCAAAATAGAATGGATTTCATCTTTTTCCAAAGAGAGGGGGGGGGAGGGTAGATTAAAAAAAAATATTTCCAGCAAATGTCTCCACATCGTGGAACAGAGCCCTATAAAACCGCAAAACAAAATGAAAATAAAAAGAACACGCAGGCACAAACCTCTATTATGATGTTAATCACACACAAGACTGGGGACAGTGGAAGTGATAGCAATGATCTAATTATCAGCAGGCCTATATAGCCAAGTGACTGAAAGAAACTCACAGAAAAAGCCTGCCTTCACACACAAAACAACCACAAAACAATGCGCAACTTAGCAACAGTCAGAAAGAAGACTTCTCATCCACACACAAAAGGCGTTTTTTATGAGCGTTTTTGTCTTGCTTTTCATTAACAAGAGAAGTCAGCCTACAGTTTTAAATTGATGTATTTGTTTGTGTGTCTTTATCAAAACACACATAGTCCAAAATTATAGGGTAGAGTAGACAAAACAGGTTATTGACGAAGCTTGAAGGGTGATCTGTTAAAGACCAAATTTGCAGTCATTGAAAAATATTCAGCAGTTTATGGTAACTTGCATTATTCAACTCAGTTGGAATTCTTAATATTTATTATTGTTATTTAAAACAATTTAAACTTAAAGGGTTGTCCTAACCCTTTTGAGAGGGGGGACCTTTCCGGTGTAATATGGTCCCTTGTGCACTGAAGAGAAGGTGTGTTCCCCACTTTCAAAAAAGTTTTCCTCACCTGGAATCCAGGATGATGAGTGGAGGGAGGTGTAGGGATTGGGGAGGAGAGAGGGAGCGGTTTATTTTAAACAGAAAAACAATGTGGAACCAAGGAAGGTTGGAGGAGACGCAATGTAGGATGGAGGGTGGGAGGGGAGATGTAGCTTTCCTTCCAGCCACAGCCAGACCTTCTTAAACCTTAATTGAATCCTAGGAGACACCTTGAGGCACTGAGCCTTTATACTAATCATGGTCCTGGCAAGTAAACTGTGCTTTCATAATTCTGCAGTTTATTTAGAATACATTTTCTAAATTATTTCATGGTCTATTTAACCCCTTAAGGACACATGACATGTGTGACATGTCATGATTCCCTTTTATTCCAGAAGTTTGGTCCTTAAGGGGTTAAGGACCAATGTTTGGCTGTGCTGCAATGCCAAGCAGGTGTATGAAAGTCATATTTCAAATGTAGCATCCTATGTGTTTTATGACAGCCAGCCTCTATATAGCATTGACAATGGTAAAAAAAAAAAAAAACAAGACATTTCAAACACGGTTCTTTAAGGCCAGATTTCAATGACAACATGGACCATCGTTTTTTCCATTATGGGTTAAATGCATTCCTTTTACTGCTCATTTAAATGAATTCTGAAATTGTAAATAAACCAACGAAAAAAATCATTAAATGCCCCAATGGGTATCGTGCCAGGCATGGTGGGCGTCCCTCGTTCCCACCTTATAAAAATCGGAGAAGCTGTTAATTGACACATTTATGAGAGTTTAATCTCGTAAAAAAAGACATTGTTTTCATTGTGTGTTTCTTTACATAATATGTAAATGAGATGGAATAAAATTCTCCAAATCACCATTATATTTTAGCTGCAGGAAATAAAAAATGCTTTTTTTTGATCGCCCTACTGTGACCCCCAGCTGTTCTTTGTAAAGTAACTTTGTAACCTCTCATTTCTTCTCACAGTCCAATCTTTTTCTGTTAAGGACTGTTTTAAAAAATGGTTCTTCCTGGAAGTACTCTTTATAAAATACTCATTTTAATTGTGTTGGTATTTCACTGAATTTCCAACCAAGTCAAAGAGGTATAATTAAAGAACTTTGCAGAAAATAGCAATCAATCAATAATGAAGTTCTAAAACAGTA